TGCTGAACTGATCTGCAAATGGATTTTCTTTCAAATTGCAACAAAGCATTGCGAATTTGAGTATTTTGTCACTGCAGTCCCACACATTTGTTGACTGTATCAGATACTCAGTTTCTTAAAAATACAGCGGGTAAGAAAAACACCCTCAGCAGAAATAACTAAACTTAATTCTAACAGACTTGGGGAAAGAGATCCTTTTATTTCCCACAGAAAGGCACTGAAGGATAGAAGATGGATAAACAGCACATTCTGATTCTAAGGAATAAAACCCCAGGTGTCTACCCAAAATCTCAAGGCACAGACAATGGAACTGTATTTGTGACCAGCCTGAATATTCATTTTACTCCAATGCAATATTTTCTGGAAGACTTGTGTAAGTCTTCCAGTGTAAGACTGAAGATATATCCTGAGGCATCAAGGTATAATCAATAGAATTGTATTTCTAACCAGCCTAAAAATGCATTTTACTCCAATGTAACATTTTCTGGAAGCCTTAAATAGACCTAAGTGAAGATATATCCTGAGAATGTTTTTGTTTTGTTTTCTACTGACAGCAACAATATAGCTTCTGTTAGGAAGAAACCCCTCCTGAATTCAGTATACAAGAAAGTTCAGTCTTGAATTTATTTGGTCTCTAAACCATTGCTTGTCCACCAGAAACCCCGTTCCTCATTCCTCAAGCACAGCCTATGTTCTTCATACATATATAAAAATTAATTTAATTTTTCCATTTTTGTCTGGCCAGTGGGTTCCAGTTAGGAGGATTTTAGCACGAACATGCCAAAGCAAAGAACACAGTTGTATGAAAAAGCATTTTAATAGATTTCTACTATCAATAACATTTGTTTTCCCAACCCAGCAGCACATCCACATATTGGCCTCACCACCTTCTTAATCTCTCAGCACTATCTTTCCTCTGCCTCCTCTGTCTTTTAATTACACAACTGCCATCTTCAGTTTCCTTTACAGGAAACTTCCTCTACCCAAGACAATGATACCCACCACACTCACACTGGGTACCCTCACAGATCCCCGGCTCACAGTCTCTGTATCTTCCCTGTTCTGATGCTGGGCAGCTTTCATATAACTCAGCAAGTAAAGTTTTTGTTTGTTTGGGTTTTACCTTTCTACAGGCTTCACAAGTTTTGAGCCCAGTGTACTCTCAAGTTGTTTCCTCTCTGTTTCTCTAACTCTGCATGCTGAAGTATCTTGTGTTTACATTTTGAAAGGAAATGTGCAAAGAAAACATCTGCAATCCCATGAATAAAATAACAAGTTCTTATCTAATGCTTTGCCATATATAAAAAGTAGAGTCATTTCCAGTTGTTGTTTCCATTCCATAGAAAAGCGCAGACTATTGCCATCATCACATCCCACAGCCCATTGCATAAGCTTACATAATTCCAACCAGAGATTAGAAAACCTGCCCCATGCTTATTCTTCAGAGGCTGTTCCAGAGACTCCCTGTTCTCACCACTGAAGTTGTCTTCTACTTCCACCTTTAATTTGCTTACAACAAATTTATTCCAGTCTCTCTTTTGTAAACAGTAAGCTTAAACAGACCATCATCCTCCCTGCTGCTTATCTCCCTCTTCCCCAACATAGTTCAGGCATAGACAGGTTCAAACAAGGATTAAACCAATTCAGACAGCCATCACTGCCAGCTATTAAACATAGCATCTACTGCTCAGAAAAGCTTTAAGCCACGGATAGCTGCAAGAGTAAACCAGAGTCATAGGAGCTCTACACACACATCTTACACTTCCACCTTGGGCTCCACAACACCCCACTAGAAACATTCTATTGGGACAGACCTAGTATGACTACTTTTACTTTTTTGAAACAGCATAATTCCTGTTGTTCTCCTGTCCCACACTGCCAAGCTTCTCTTTTGAAAGATTAACCAACTCATAACCTCTCTTGAGACATTCTTATATTTTCCCCATTACCACTGAACTCTCTCCAGTACCCATCCCAGTCTGAAGTCTCCCTTCTCAAACACAGACAGCCACAGCTGTCCTCTGCAGGAACATATTTCTTCTTAGTCATTAGCTACTTCTGAGTAAACTGAGTTTTCCTTCTATTGTTTTTGACTTCATGACCTCTGCTCTGTACAACAGCTTTGTGCCTGTTTCCTTGCTGCTGTTGGTCCAAACCTACCTTTCCTCTGTTCTCCATAGCATTTTCCCCTCTACTGAGATATCACAACTCCACTAAACCTTATAACATCTTCGGTATGCATCTGAATCAAGACTGGATGTGCATATCAGCAGCTTTTCATCCCAAATACTGAAAATCACCAGTCAGTGGAGAGTTCTGGTGAACTCCAGAAACAAAGTTACCCTGAGTCTAACTGACCCTCTACATCAGGTTTTCACAGAAAACTGAGTTATGGCCTAACTACATTCTCCTGAATCAACTGGAACACAGCAGCTTAGTCACAAAATGGTTGCAACAAAGCCAAGGTGTCAATGATGCAATTGCTCAAATGCTATAAACTAAAGATCATCTTGCAACCCTCAAAGACAAATCTAAAAAATCTAGGAAGACCTGGATTTGCAATAAGTCTGTTCATACTTCACAAACTTTTCTGATTTCTTAGACTTAGTCCATCAAGATGGAACACCAAGAAAATCAAGAGTGAACAGAAACAGCCCTACCTTCCTACTCACCATTTAACACATCAGGCAGAAATTTCTATTCCATTTAGACTAAGATATTTTGCTCTCAACCAGGAACATAAATTTGAGACCAAATCAAGAAACTGTTTTCAAGCAAATAAAAATAACCTGACCAAGCCATATGCCCAAATTAATACTTTTTCTCTCTCTTCTCCCCCACCCCCCTAATCAAATTCCTTTTAAACTTCTTCATTGTTTGTGTAAGGTCTCATTTATTCTGCAAAGTCACAGCTCTTTGCTATTCTTTGAAGAGAGGGCTTAGTTTTTGAATGCTGCAGGAAAAAAACAACAAAATAAACAGAAACAGTAGTAGGAAGATGAAATGGTGCCCATAACACTCAAACAACACCCTCCTATCTGACCCATCATCTGTTCTGGCTCAGCCCCAGGTCTCTAAAGCAATTCAGCCATAAGACCCTACTGTTAAAAAGACAAAATGCCTTGCCAATCTGCACTTGGTACAGAGAATCTAAGCTAAGTCCATGCCCTCTGTCCCCTAAGCAGGAACCCAGTGCTGCTCTGAAGACCTTAAAAAAGTAAAACAGGCTGATGGTTAAAACAAGCAACCTGACTGGGATACCAGGGCAGGAGGGACAGAACAAAAGTCAGAATATCCAGCCTTGTACCCAATTCACTCAGCCCACTGCCTCTCTTCCATGCAGGATATATTAGCAAATACACCACTTGAGCTGACACTGAGAGAGATTAGACATTACACGGCTTAAAACCAAATAGACGTGAAAGAGTCAAGAATTAAAACATTCTTTTAAAGCACATCAAGCACAATGCTGCAAAGAAATCCTTCTGTGTCATTGGAGCTGTCTGTGTCCACAGGACGATGGGGGTAGGTTTAACCCAATCACACCTTTCCAGAAAATAGGCAGTAATTTTAATAAATGCAGATTCCCTGATCACTGTGGTATCACCTACACATTTAGGAAAGCTCCGGTTACACTGTTGGAACAGCCACACTCCACTGGCCACTACTCACTCTGTAAGCAGTCAGCATTGAGCAGGTCTTGGCACTTCTCATGGCACTTGACTCCACATTCACCGCAGCGCATTCCCTGCCGTGCAATACCCCACAGCAGCCCCTCACATTCGTAGCAGTAGGTCGGAGTTGTGGCTGTCCACACTTCGAAGTTGTGCGGGGTTGTACAAGAGATGGGGTAAATTAAGGCTTGCAAGGTCTTCTTATAGACATGAGACTTCTGAAAGGCAAGAGCACACATAAACCAACATCCAGGAAGATGACTGAACCTATTTTTGCTGGTTAACACACAAGTCCTAAGGGAAAAGGCATAAGCAGTGCAATAAATCTACACATTTGAGGTAGCCAAATTTATCAAACATTTACAAGCAGCAGCAGAGGACACCCTTCCAAAAATTCTTCTCCAGGCATTTAAAAAAGTGGAGGAGATGGAATAAAAGAATTAAGGTTTGTTGATGAGGGATATCTTGCATAAAACAAGTTTCACACGCTGTTCCCCATGGTAGATAGCACATGGTAAGATTACATTTTTCAGGATCAACACATTAAATGTTATTTTTTACATGTTTGGTTTCTTTAAACAAATGATACAAGAAGCTTTGCATCTATATTTTTAGACATCTGTGAAGCTGGCTCTGCATCCCAGAGAGCCAAATTCCCTTAATTTGCTTACTAAAAGTTAACAGGAGCCAAGCAACCCTCCCACTTACCAGCTCTTCATCTTTGAGAGATGTTCTAGTGGCCATTGCTGAGGTAATTCCGGCTTTCCGGGACTGAACCAGTGACTAAGAAGGAAGAAAGTTTGTTATTCACCACCAACATTCAGAAGTGCCCTGGCACTACATGCCCAGAGATGTGACCAAGGGGACTCTGTCATCCCAGGCACCAAACCAGCAGCCTGTTACATTCAAGCTGGTTTCTTAAATGATAGCTCACATCTCAGAAGAGTCAAGTGCATACTCTGAAAGGTCTCCAACTTGTTTCCATCTGCTCACAACCAGTCTTTCTCTGGTAAATTTTTATTTGTTTCTCTGGTAAGAGCTGTCAATGAAACCTGCGTTCACATCTCCACTTCTATGTTCTGGTAGCAATGGTAATTCTGCTATCGCCTAAGGTCACTACATGGGACTCACTCTTCTATATCTAACTTTATTCATAGCCAAAAGGAGATTATTTCATCAGTTTTACAACATACACAACATCCCCAAACATGACAGCAAAAGGGTTACAAACAAACAGGTTATAAAAGAACAGACTGGGTTGGGAGCACAGGTTTGAATGTGCTGGTGTATCACATTCATTGGCCATCACTGAATACAATGAACAGCATTTTCTCCTCTAAACTGCCTCCTGTGCATCATGCCAACACCAAGTTCTGCAGCCTTGGACAGCACAGGGCAGTGCCTTTGCAGCACCTCACACTGGCATACAAAGGATTTCTTCAGCAAGCCACTCCAGTTAGATGAAGGCAGAGATGGAAATTAAAGCTAGCAACATCTGCTTTGAAATCATCAAACCCTATCAGAAACCTCCATTTGTGCTCTGATTTATCCTGTTTGAAGATAGACTGAAAAAGTTCATTCCACCAGTGATGGAGCAGGACAGAGTACTGCATATGCATGCACTGCAATACTGCAGGTTCAAAATAAAAAGCAAAACAGTGGAGGGAAAATAAGGTAAAATAATTTTTGTTTCTGGTGAAGGCTTGGCGGATAGTCTTTAGCTCCACTTACCATGGCCTGTGGAGAGAGAGAATGAAAGCATACAAAGGAAGTAATAAAAGTTAATGCCATTATTGCGAAGATTTAAGATACAAGCAGTTAGTAAGACACATATTAAGCTTCCCATGCATAAGCTGGCAGAGAGAATTGCACATATCTTTTCACAGGAATTACAGGATACTGTGTACTGAACACAGCCAACAGAAAATAATTTGTCATGCATTTTACCATATCACACAAGCATATGAAACTTGTCCTCATTACTTGCTTGGTTCTTGTGCTTCCTCAGTGCAGAAGCCTAGTGGCAATATTGTGAATTACTCTAAAAATCCAAGCATATATGCTCGTTTATCTGTCCTCTGAAAATCCCTGGTAGGTTGCCAAACCTCACATGGACATTATAACTTTCCCCAAAGTGTGGTTTGCAGGATAACATTTAAAAATAATGCAGGCCTAAAAATAATCAAATATGCTGTGTAGAATAAAAAGGAAAAAGAACATGAAAAATATCTTAATTCTACCAACTGAAAGAAACTGTCTACAAAACTGTAGCTTGTTCTCACTGAGATTTTTCCGAGCACAACTCCTAATCCCTTACTGTAAGAAATAATTTAACTAAAGAGGAAGCCTTCAACTTCTTGAAGTGACAATGAATGTTACCGTATGCCAAAAAGTAAAACCACTTGCACTCATGGCTGTGTGGCAGAAGAAAAATCTCTTACCAGATCACTGACAAGTGGAATTGGCTTTTTTTTGCGTAGGTCGGGCATACTATCAATGCCATAGAGACCGCCTGCAGGCCTGGAAATTCAGGGGGGAAAAAAAAAAAAAAGGTTAAAAATCTCACCAGCAGTGAGACACAGTAAAGAGATGACCAAAAATCTTCCTTAAAACATCAGTCTGCTTGCTAGTATCATAGTCAATGAGAATGGGAAGAATCAGTTCACTGCAAATGCAACTTAATAATCAAGCAAAGTTGTCAACACACTGAAGAAAGGTCATTTTCCCATTCTCAGTTCTGAGGTCTGAGCTATCTCAGAGTAGGCTGGGCACGTGCTTGCAGAGCATGCAGTGTTTCAGAGTCACTGCTGCCAGCACAGTGGATGAAGGAAGCCTTATCCCCACCGCTTCAATACTTACCCAATGGCAGAACCAGAGCTCCGTGGCAGTAATTCACATGTGGCTTAGTCTGTGTTAACTGAGCCACATGCCTCTGCTTTCAGAAGTACCTTTTGTCCCTTAGGGAGCATTCAGTTTATAGTTTACTATTGTCATTGAGCATCATTGCAGGAAAGACTTTGGAAACTTGGTAACATCCTGTCTCCAGTCTTTCTCCATCCCCTTTCTTTCCATTTAATTATTTTAGGGTTGGAGGGGGTGAGGAGGGGGATGCTTTGCTGGAAGAAGCAAAATCAGCCAGCAGATTATAGTTAAGAAAGTGTAAAGTTAATGCTAAAAATGATTAAGTGTTTATCTTCTTCACACACAACAATCCAGACGTTCCTGCCTGGTGTTGCTGGTAGGGAGGGAGCATGTCCAAGCGTAACATCCTGGGGCATACCTGTCATCTGATTCTAGGCTAGAACATACTTAATCCTGGCCCTTGAGGTCCATATAATTATTAGGGAAAACCTCACATCTGAGGAGAAAGGAAATTATTTTTATTTCTATAAAAGGGACCATTTGTGGTGCTCAGCATTTCAAGCCATGCAGACCTCTATCCACAAGAGCTGCCATTCGCTGGTGGAAGTGGTGATGGAGCAAAAGGGCCACTACCCCAGCAACACTTGGAGCCTGACAGAATAAAATGCTATGGCCTGGTTCCTTCCCGACGAGACCAGCCTGGATAATTGTATCTGGGTCCTGCTGCTCACTGGTAACACCACATGGATGTAAGCCTGTGCTTGCAGGTGTTCTGTTAATTCAGCTTAAAGGCCCCCAGTAAATCAACTGCACTCATCTGTAAGGCCTTAAGAAAATGCTTCTTTCTAAGGTTGGAAACTGAGCACACATTTCTCTGCTGTTGTGCCTATCATATCCGCCCTGAACTGAAGAACAGACCTGTGATGGGACTCCCTCCCTGCAATGAACACCCAGCCACCAGCCAAAACCCACAGCCCCTCTCAGTGTTTCACTCAACTTCCCCACCTCCACGTTGCTCTCGTGCCTTGCTAACACTAAGAATATGGTTCCCGAGGCCTTTTTCTTGGCTACAGAGACTTCAAAGGAACCTTCTGCCTCTCTAACCTTAGCTCTTCCTTTTCACCCCATACCATGCTGGCTTACACCACTTTGCAGTTGCATGATAAACCGGCTGGCACTTTTAACCTCTTTATTTTGCTGATTTGGTACACCACACCCAGCTGAAATGCTTTAAGACACCACAATGACAGCAAAGAGAACTATGGGTCAAACTGTTCTTACCGCAATAAAAGACACACATGGAGCTACCCTTGAAAACAATCTAGGAAACCTAATTGCCTCTACAAATTTGCACATGCCATGAAAACTGGGAGGCTGGTGAGCGACAAGAGGCAGCCTGCACCCTCGGCAAGCAGGACCTACTCAAATCCCCTTTCAATACAGCCAAAAGTCAAAAAAACATCCAGGAAACAACAAACAATGACCAAACCTACATTATAGCAGCCCATACTCTAGGACAGACAAGGATGTCACGGCACAGCCTAGCACAAGGCTCTGTCAAAGAGGGAAACAGTCTATTATATACAGAAACATGCCACAGCGCTGTTAACAGTAAAATTGACTTTTTTGACGGGGCGTAGGAGCGTGACATGTCCGAGCCACAGCTGAGTTGACAGCTGCTGCTGGCTGAATGAGCCTGGTGGGAAGGTGAGCAGTCACGTGTAACTGCGCGAACTGCGTCGGCTCTGCATGCAGCATGAGTCACATTTGCACCGCAGCACCGTGCATGGCTCTCTGCGCTCCTACACGATGAACGAAACCACCCACAGTCAGCTGCAACAACTAGACCTCACAGCTGGGAATGGAAGACAAACTTGGACATGAGAAAGGTGGAGATTTACAGCAGTTAATTAAAACTGTTGGAATATTTGGCTAAGAATGACACCAGTTTTCCAACGCTGGAAATCCTTATAGCAAGGCTAATTGGCGTTTTTACTAGAGGTTACCCTCATTTCCAACTGAGAATTCCAGAAATACTTTTTGCCTAAGTTACAGTGCAATAATCCCTTCTGGCTTATTATACAAAATAATGACCCACATAAGAGATGACAAATATCTGCAGAATGTGTTTGTATTGTCAAACTAAGAACAGTCTTGCTGAGGTCAAACATGGAATTTTGTCTGCTGCCCTAATGTTACAAACGACAGTGTTTTAGCACATATTTCCAATACTAACAATTATGTTTTGGGGTAAATAGGTGTCATAGAAGACTACCCAGATGATGCCAAGAACTCCGGCATTATTTAAATCACAATACAGCTTATTGGTAAGTTCTGGGTCAAAGATTTATGTCTAATCACTTCAATTATGAAAGCATATGCAAAATAGAAAAGAAGACTCTGTAAGCTGAAAAGATGCAACAAAATGGTCACAAGTAAAAATCCAGAGTCAATGCTCCTGCTACAAGTCAATGGCACAGCTGGGAATTTACACTTCTTTTCTACACAATTTCCAACGATTTTTTTTTTTCCTAATTCAATCGAAAAGGAACTGTGACACTCTGACATTTCCCAGGAAAGAAAAACATTAAAATTGCATATTTTATAAATTCAAGATGAGCCTAAACAAGTTATTGTGCTTGAGAAACATGTCCAGTTACAACCTGGTTTGTTGCAAAATATTTGTGATAGACTGAGGTTTATGATAGAACCAGTTGTAAGCCAGACTGACAGAGGACAAGCCTATTTGAAATGTGCTTGTATTTGCTATGGAAGAGATATATCGTAGTATCCAGATAGTTATAGACTCAGATGACCTGCTTTTAGCTTGTTAATATTAAAAAAAAAAAAAAAAAAAAAAAGGGAACTTTTCAGCAACAATTCTTAATTTTCAAAATTATTCAGCTTGTGGTTTTGGCTACCTCAGTCTTTTTATGCAAGCACAAGCTCTACTTTGCTTAACAAAATTACAGTGTTTGCACAGACAGAAGTACTGACAGTGCCTCAAATATGCACACTGTAGCTTTATATGTAATAGGGTAACTCTCCTCTGCAATGCATATAATACATATAGCATTATTATGGAGTGCTGTATTGAGGAGTGAATAGCATTTCTGTACGAGACGATTTGTGCTAATAAATAAAATATACAGATATGAGATATTACACCCAGAGACTGATCCATAATACCAATTGTACTTTTTTTTGAACCTATCTCTCCAAAGCTAGTGATCACAGACAGGGAGCTACTGTTGCGTTATGCTAAAAGTGCAAACAGCTTGAAGCATGTCTTCATCTTTTAATACAAGTTTTATCACACAGATGCTTCCATTACATCTTGAAAATTTAAGCAAGCAAAGATGGTTTGCAACGACAGAAGATCATTACTTCCTTCAAATGACACCACTACTCTAATCTTCATGTGAAAGAAGAACTCCAAACATAAGTGCTTTAATGTATTTTGTGGCCAATAAGCCACAAATTGGCTAATGGCGGAATTAAAGGTTCACCACCCACAACCACCTCTTCTGGAAATCTCTTGCTGTGGGGATACACTGAATAAGCCAAACTTTTGCCAAAAACTACATTAGCCATACTGTTTTGTTTTATCTCACATAGAAAGGGAAAAAATTACAGACTAGAGCAAACATTACCTTGAACTGACAAAACACATTTTTAAGTATTTCAGGACTGTAGGTGTATTCATCTTTCAAGCTGGGAAATCATTTTGTGTGCGTGAACCAATAAACTCAGTATATTGTCTCCTTGTTAAAGCAGAAGAAGGTGCTGTTTATAGTTAGAATAAATCACTGTCTTCTGCTCCTGCTAATTGCCAGTTCTCCCGAAGTCCCAGGCTCCTTAGGAAAGCGTGGGGTTGCTAGGCAGCTCCAGGCATCCGCAGGTGTGGAGGATGCTTTGCGGGAATACCAACATCGCAGAACAATGACTCCAAAAGCATAAAACCGTATAATGAAGCCTCCAATTTAACTGTGCGTTTTATTAGGGAAGCTTGCTTCAGTAGTATGAGAATTAACTTATGCATGTAGCAAGCCAACCTCTTGCTGAGATTTCAGGGCAAATCTGCTGCTACGTCAGCTCCTAATGAGCGCACAACCACCACCACCCAACTGTATTGCCCTAATTGCGTACAAGGCACATAACCTAGCAGCTTGTAAAATGTGTCATTGCCTTTTTTTTCCAGAGAGGATTCTAGGGAAGCTACCATGCTGGCACCTATTATGCAGAGTGTCATGTTGAAATTACACACAATCAGAATTTGTCTGCTTCATTTGCTGCGAGTAGTGTGCTGTGGAGAGAACGCGCGGCCTCTCACCTGTGCAAAAAAGGCACGATGATCACTGCTTTAAAATGACAAACTGCAATGATTTACAGAGTTACTGCAGTTTTGACTACTATGACGACCATAGAAATCACTGCAAAGACAGAAAACTTCCCCAAAGCTACTTTTTTCTTACAAGAGCAAAAACCACAGCAATCTTTCTGAGTCTTTCCCTTCCCTGGTGCCATCAGTGACTGATTCAGGAAAAAGGATTTCATCCAGACCACTCTGTGGTGCTCAGTAAGGATTATTTAACACTGCTGCCATGAGCACTTACTGCCATCACCT